AAGGTTGTGGGAAATTGGGCAAAACTCTGCCTGCAGGGGATTTAAACTGACATCTAACAAAAAAAAAAGAAACTTAAAGAAAAGACCAGAAACCACTTCCTGGTAATACTTTATCTTCAATGAGTTTAATGAGAGTTAGGTTTTCCAAAATGATGTGGTAAGATGAGGAAGAGGAGGCTGACTCTGATGTTGAAACTATAATTAGTTTGATTTGTGGACTATTCTTACTGGGAGTTCATTTTCATTTTACTCAGAATAGATAAATAAAGTGTCCCTTTAAAATGTGTAGGATCAGTATGTGGGCTCCATGGTGGCAGCACTGTTGCCTTGAAAGAAGAAGGTTCTGGGTTCTATTCACCGGCCTGGGGTCTTTCTCCATTTTCCATGTTCTCCCTGTGCATGCATGGGTTCTCTCTGGGTACTCCACAGTCCAAAAACGTGACTATTAGGTTAGCTTGCTTCTCCAAAATGTGTGTGGGGGTGTGTCTGCCCCAAAGGATTACTGTTTCTTTTGACAAGTTACATTTTTGAATACTTTTACGTTTTTTTTAAAGTATTTATGGTTTTGTAATGAAAAGTAACGACGCAGGATGAGGTATTTAGTCATATTTTTCATATAAAATGAATCATGTAAATCATGTAAAGCACTTTGCATTGTCTTTGTACTGAACTGTGATATACAAATTAACTTGCCCTGCCTTGCCTTGTGTTGCTGCTGATGTGTGTTTGTGTGTTTTTGTTCTTTGAAAATCATTTTTCTGTAATTGTATTATTATCATAAAAGCAAAATAGTAAAAAAAAGGATATGACAAAAAATAAGATGTAGTTGTCCCTTTAAAGTCCACTGGTGCTTTTTGTTCTCATTAACCACATTTTTTAAATATCTGTATCAGCTACCATGTTGCCAAGTTGCTGTAAAAAATGTTGTGTAGCTCCTATCTAAAAGCTATGGCGAGCTAAATTTCTTTCACATTTTTTGCAGTGTTTCAAGTCACCTACGTATTTGGGAAAGCGTTGTCCAGCTAAACCACCTTCAGGCCTGTTTGGTGAACAAGACCAGCTAAACCACATATCCCAGTGGGTGTGTGTGTGTTGGGTGCATGGTTAAATGTCTCTGCCTTGCCCTATCATGGACTGGCAACCACTTCAGGGTTTACCCCGCCTCTTACCCATAGACTGCTGGATGGATGAACGAACAGATAGACGGACGGACGAAGAATGTGCAAACGGACGGATCATCAGTATGTTTATTTCCAATTTATTTGCTAGCTAAGATCTGAGAAAATCTCTGACCTTTGTGCCACTTCATTAATTATCCCCTGTTGAGCTCCATCAGCTAAGAACTGTGGGACAAAATCTGAGTCCTGTTTCTGTTGCACGCAGTGTTCCTGGGCTGAGTTTTGAGTAAACCCACTCTTCTGGACAATGAATGGTCCCACGCATTGTCTCAGGATATGTTGTGTTTTCCATAAAGCTGAATTCACTGAAGACCTTTTGTTCTCTAGACAAATCCTTTTCCAGATGTCCCAAAGGATTTGGAGCAGAGAGAATAACTTTGCATGGGTCTCTTTCTGTCCATCATTATACGGCCAGCAGAATTACACTCTGCCATTACCCTTGATGTTTTGCTTGGATAGACCTGACTTGTCTGTTTTCCTGTCACAATCCTGCCTCTGCCAACATTGAGCAAACTCTATGGTGGTAAAACTATAATTATCCAGTAAGCACTGATGCTTTAGACATTACTGAGACAAGGTAATCGGCCTGTTTAATAGATTCACCAGATGATTTTATCCTGCAGTTGACCAGTGATGGCACTCCGAGTCTATTGGCATTATTTGTTTTTTGTCCATTTTGTAAAATAATTTAAAACAAACAGCAAAATTGTGTTTATGTTTTGTATCAAAGTTTAAATTTTAAGAAGCTGGTGAAGATTCTCAGTCATCCAGGTCATAGTCATACCTGTCTATGTCCCCTTTCAGAGGCAGGCTAACAAAAGTAGCCAAACGACCCCCATTCCAAGTGGTGGACCTATTCGTCTGTTTCAATTTGCATGTTTTCTAAACAAAAATAAGGTTTTGTTGGGCTGCTGTATAAAACCTGAGCTCTACGCTATTCCTGACATTTTGAACTGAAAAGACTTCGAAGATGGGAAGTGAAACGCCTTTAAACTTGGAAACAAAGTCCTTTGGATTGCTTTTGAATGTTTTTGGAACAATT